CAGCCTCTGTCAGTAATTTGAATAATTCGCTCTCCTCATTAATAATTTGTTTCCTACAATATGCAAGAATTCAGTTTTATTACACTTTGTTTTCACTTTTAATTTAGAAATAAAGTAATAAGGATTTGTTAGTTTTCCATATGTGTCAGTAATTTTAGTAATTTGCCTGTTATGAATTAATTTTATTTTGTAAAATATGCGAGAATTAAATTTTGTAATATGTACAGGGTGATTCATAAAAGATGGGCAAAGTTTTAGGATGTGATAGTACACACCCAAGCAAACAATTTTTATCGAAGAATGCATGGTCGAAAACAAAACCCAAAACCGTTTGAAGGAGTCAAAAGTTATGTTCTTATATGATGCAAAAACACACAAAGAACGATGAAGTTATAGAACATATTTAATGGCATGTGATTACAATAAGCATTCAAAACAGTGGCTGGCAGCGGCTAAGCACGCAGTACAACGGCGAAGAAAAGATTGGCGAACATTCTGAAACACACCAGGCATATCGCGGTGTGTTTCCCCTGCAGGGACCGAAAGCTTGGAGACAAGTTCTTTTGCAGATTCAATGGAAGTCTTATACCTAAGAGCCTTCAGCTGCCCCCACAGAAAGAAATCAGGACATGAAAGATCTGGAGAGTGTGGTGGCCAAGCTAAAGGACCACCAAGATAGAGGCTCTTCTTCCCAAAACATGCAAATAATAACTCGCAGCGCGGTAACTCGCAACAGGAATTGAGCTTTCTCGTTTTCATGAAAGAACTTTCCAAATGAGCCAGCTCCTTTGCGTTTTGTTTTCGACCATGCATTCTTTGATAAAAAATGTTTGCTTTGGTGTGTACTATCACTTCCTAAAATTTTGCCCATGAATCACCCTGTATATAGTTCTTAATTTCAATTTAAAGTACATGAAAGCTATGAAATAGAAATTCTGTGATGCAGATTGAAACTAAAAGTTAAAGGTGCATTGTATTATGCTTTATTCGATTCCAATGTTTGATAGCAATTTAAACATTTTTTTTAATAAACTTAATTTATTTCTCAAAATATAGAAGTTTAAAAATGATAAAGTAATATTTAAAGTATATTGGAATTAAAAGTGCCTATTAGCTTCTAGTTAGCTCTTTTTAGCAAGTTGAATATTTTATATTAAAGTAAGTTTAATTTTTAAAATATATAAGGATTTAGTTTTATTTTTAGTTAGTATTCGATAAGAATACTTTTATCCATTTAATTTTAAACAAAATGAAAGCTATGAAATAAAAATTCTGTAAAGCGTATTTAAATTGAAAGTTAAAATGTGCACTGCATTAGGCTTGGTTATCTTCTAATATATGAAAGCAATTTAAATATTTTTTTTACCAAACTAAGTTATTTTTTAAAATATGATAGAAAATGTTTTGAAATATACTCAAGAAGAAGAATTATTTTTTAAAATATGCTCAAAAGCCTTTTAAATAGTGAAGAAAATGTCAATACTTTTATCCTGTTTGTGATCACGAAATTTTCTTGCATGAACCTCCATGACCCTTCTGGCCCACAACGGGCTGAGCACTTTACAGTGATAACTCAACTATTCGAGTTCAGCAGAAATAATGATTTTGTAAGGGTTTTTTAAAACTAATTTTTAAGGTGAGCTCTTATTTTTATAAAACTAAAAATTGCAATTTTGATTATTAATATGGAAGTAAAGATTTAACCAATAGCTCAAAGTGAAGAAATATTTCGATTTAAATTCAATTATTTCAGTTACATTATTATAATTGGGAGATTTTGCATTTTTACGTTACATTCCGCTCCCATACGTAAGATTGAAAGTAAGTGCGTATGCTCCAAATTCGGTGAAAAGCGCATGCGCTGATGAAAAAATATCAAACATACGTGAATGAAAATAAGATTTAAAAACGCTAGTTAAAAAGGCTAACATAGTGAAATATCATATTAACTTCGACCACAATATCAAACCAACATATATATATATATATANATATATATATATATTGTATAATATTGGTCATACACTTATTACAGATAAGCATCTTTTACTTGGCGAAGTTGCACCAGATTGCTCTAGCTATATGAATCATTAACTACTAAACACATTCTAACCGAGTGCCACAAATTCAAATTTCAAAGACAACACTATTTTGGCTGCTATTATCCTACTTTACAGTTATTCAATGGCGATAAACTACGCTTTAATCTTCTCTTTGACCTAAATGACACTGGGTTTTATATCTCAATTTAATTTTACCTTTTAAATTATTAATCTCTCTTAATTAAGCCTAGAACTCGTTTTTAGACCAAGTTCAAGGTGCAGTATAGCCATTTCTGGCTCTTCGGCCAAAAACACCAACTAACAGACTTACTAAGAAATTCAAATAGAGGAAAAAATATAATAGTTAAAAAAATTTCAAATATTATTAATTGCTTATGAAGATCAATAAATATATATATTAATATAATATATTTTTGTAAGAATTATTTTCAGATGCTTATATATCAAAAGACCTATCAAGTGTAAAATGATATCAATATCGTCTTTTTAAGAACGAGGGGGATAAAGTATTCTTTTTTGTCAATGGAAATTAACCGAAACAAATCATAAAAGCCTTATTCCTACTGAATATCTGCCAAAATATTGGCGTATAGCCATAAAGCTCTTGTTCCTTGAAAAAAAAGAGTTCTTTTTCTTATTTGTAAGAACTTCTGCCGAAGAATTTCTATTATTTATATAATTTTGGTTTTCTTAAAATTGACATTAGTGGCAAAAAAAAAAGGTTTGAACTTTAATGAATGTGGACATTTAAGTAATTAGAGATAACGAGCTCAAAGATTTAAGTGATTAATCAAGTAATTAATCTGTTTAGTACGTGAGGAAAATAATTGCGAATAATTGTTTGTGTGCAAATGAAGGCATATCAATTTAGGGTATTTAAAGACAAAACTTTGCAAATATCTAGTGTTTCCCGCACGTGTCTAAATATTTTCTTGTATAAAAAAGTTCCGAAACAAAAATTGGCTATTTTTATTTAGAAAAACACTAAAAACGAAATGTGATTTTTTTTTATTCAAATTTTTAATTTTGCTTTATTAAAACATGTGTTACGTTAGAAAAAATTGTTTTAATCAAAAAGAAGACTTTTTTATTATTGAAAGTTTATTTTCATTTTGATCTTTCAAAGTAGGGAGACATTTATTTTTTAAGCCTAAATTTTGAATTTTAGTTAAGATTTTTTTTAATTTTTAGTTACATATACGAAACTCAGAAGAATCTGGTGGTTGAAAACTCACATCCCTCCCTATAAGTTGACTTGGACCGAAACCTGGAGGTAGCTGATCGATTTGTCTAATACCCCCTGCTCTACCATACTGTTGAATTAAAATAAGCCTAATGGTAAACGAATCATGGATTTGTTATCGGGCTGATCATTGGAGATTTTTCGTGCTTTTTCTTTCTTTATGTTCCGCAAATTACTGTTGCTCCCAAATTTAGCGCGAATTCGCGTTAAATCCATATGGAATGCGAATTCGTGTTAATTCCATAAGCAACGCGAATTCGTGTTAATTTTATATGTAACACAAATTCGTGTTAATTCCATATACAGCACGAATTCTCGTAAATTCCATGTGTTATGTGGATTCGTGTTAATTCTATATGCGACGCAAATTCTCGTTAATACCATATATCACGCAAATGGATCTTTGTCCTGATATTTCATTCAGAAATTTTCCTCACTCAGCAAACTTCCTAGGAGTTCTCTTTCCATAACATAGTAAATGGTTTTTTTAAGTTTGTAAAAAAATTGAAAACAAAAAGAGATTTTTAATTTCTGCATACTTATTATAATTGATTTAATTGTAATCCAGAGTACTTTTTAAGAAATATTCTTAAAGCGTTCAGACTCTTGCATAAAATTTAAATAAATATGAGTACTCTATAAATGCTTGCAACATGAAACGATAATTGAAATTCTGAAACTATTATTTCTCCAAATAAATAGTCTCAAAAAACTGTAGTGGTAAGATATTACTTTTTTATAAAACTTTGTTTACACTAAAAAATATGCAGATGGAAACAAATGCTGACGTTCTTCAAGCGCTTAAAAATAGGCGCTCATTCTCAAGACTTGACAGACGTGAATGAGAAGAAACAAAAATTGCCAAATGCATATATTCTTCGATTTTTACTTTTGTTTTACTATCGATTATTACGTTTATTTTTCGTTTTTCGTTAGCCACTTTACATTTTATATTTTAAATTATTTTTATTTCTTCTCATTCATTTCTGGCATGCCTTGAGAATGAGCGCCAATTTTTAGGCGATTGAGCATGTCGACTTTTATTTCCATCTGCATATTTTTCGTCAATTAAGATTTTTAATCGAGTAATATTATTTCTCTAGTTTGTCTCCAATTTTATTGATTTAATTTTTCTTTTTAAAGATAAATCTGATTTGAGAAAGAATGTGTAAAGGGATAAAAATGAATATTTCGTTATGGCAGCAATATTTTAAAACATGTACATTTCAAAATGCTTCAACTACCAATTAAAATTTTAAATTTGTATATTTGGTATTAAAAATAAATTACTTTTTATTTCCGCATGCTGATATTACTTGATTTAGCTCTTTTCCGAAGTAGTTTTCAAGAAATTTTCTCAAAACGAATATTCAAATTCTTACACAAAACTTAAATAAATATGAATGCTCCATAAATCCATGCATCACAAAACAGTAATTGAAATTCTGAAAACAATTCTTTTTCTTTTTTTCTTCTCATGCACACTTTCTAATGGTTTGATTTTTTTCTTTGAGAGAAAAATCGGGCACCAAGAAAAATTGTTTATCGAGAAAAATATGAATAAAAGAATTTGATGACAGCAATGTATGTTTGAAAACTTTATTTCCAAAACAAATCGCAAACAATAAATTCTTTCCAAGCTTCACTTAAACTTTTATTCTTCATCGGAAAAGTTCCAATCTACCCCGCACTGAAATACGCCCACCAGATGTCGTTATTCAGGAGAAAATCCCTTCATTCCTTGTTCCAGACTCCGAAATTCCAAAGACAAATTCGGATAGCTTTCATCCCTTTTCCCGGACAAATTTTTCCGCTCATTACGAAATACACTCTGCAGAGTTATTATTTAAAGCATTCGAAATTGCAGGGTTTTGACAAGGATGGCTGAGGCCGGCTTGGATCCACTAGAAATAAATTCTGTGCAATGGCCCGTTATCGGGTCTTCTGCTGATTTGTTGGGAAACTTTTCCAACTTGAATAATACTGTGAATTGCACACTTTCTTTTGGCTGTTTCTTCAGATACCCGTTGGTTCTGACTATTATTTATTGCGTAGCATATGGGGCTGTGTTGGTTGTAGGGATACTTGGCAATGTGTGTGCTTTTGTAGTGGTTATGAGAGACAAAACATTGCACTCGGTTTATTACAGATTCATGGCAAACTTGGCGATTGCAGATCTATTGGTATTGATTTTTTGCCTACCTGTTACGCTTCTAGGAAATTTATTTGGACGTAAGTATACTTTTTACCATAATTAAGGAAAGTTATTAATTTTTTTCCTTAATTTTAATTAAACGCCTTCGATTAATTTTAAGGAAAATATTTACTTTGATAGCGGACAATTTTGACCAGTTATGTTTACAAATTTTATAATGAAGCAGAGCAGTTATTGGACACTTCGTTGCCTTTTAAATATTATTTTTCTTATGTGCCCCTAAGAAAAAACACCCTGATAAGTTCCTATATTTTACCCTAAATTATTAAAATAAATATGAATTTTTTTTCCTATTTCATTCCTAGGCTACGTAGTTGAACATTAGTAGTCGTAAACCCAAAAATTAGGTCGGCTGTTCAACGACGGTTAGATAATGAAATAAAAATTTTATTCCTAAAAAGGGACAACTTTCATGCATTTTTTCCTTCAATTTATTGCTATCAATTGGTTTTTAAATTTGCTTACACAATATTAGTAGTCTTAAAATAGAAGTAATTTTGCATTAAACTATCTGTTTAAAATATTCAAATAAATCGGTTCTTAATACCAATTCTGTAATTTATTTTTATGAATATTTCGTTCTGTGTAGGGTCTCTAAAAGACGCTCAGACTACTGCATTTTTTGTTTCATTTATATAAGAAAACCACAAAAGGGGAAATTCAAATTTTCACTGAAATATTTATTTTTATATTTTTTAAATATTTTGTGATTTTTCGGCTCGCCGATCGCAAGAAAATTTATATATTTTTTTAAAATTTAATTTTTTAATTTAATTAATTTTTTGAAATTTTATCAATTATTTTTATTTAATTTAATTTTTATGCGTTTTAAAAATAAATAAAACATAAAAAATAAAAAGTTGGTGGAGGTATACATATTTCGGTGGCTTTTTACTCATCTAATCAAAAAGGGGAATTTTTTTCTTCGAATATCACTAGCATGGGGTCACCCAAACTTCTAGGAAAGCGGAGGCCTGGGCAAATGCCCCGCTTGGCCCACTCTGACGACGGGTTTGTAACGAAGTGTAATAGGTATTCTAAATATTGCTAAAACGCGTATGTGATTGCAATCTCTTTGAAGTGAAAATACTGTACTGCTATATATTTATACTTCATGAAATTAACCTACTGAAAAAAAAAAGATTTAAGAAAATTATGGAGTAACTGGATAGAAAGTTATCACTTAAGAAAGTCCAGCTCAAATAAAGGAAATAGTATTATAAAAAATTACGCATTATTTGTAATTAAAATGAAATATAACAAAAAGAAGCTCTAAAATTAAGTAGAAAATTACGGTAAAAAGTACCGTCCCTCAGGGTACCAGTACTTTTTTACCATAAAATCCATTTTTATCGAAACATGTTACGGAACAGAAAAATCTGATATACCGTTAATTTTTACCGTAATATTTATCGTAAAATCACTGAATTGCTCTAATTAGATGATTATTACTGTACAAACTACGGTATAATATTTTACGGAAAAATGAATTTTAGGGATGATACATGCAGCCTCAAAAATCCGTTTCTTTATACCGTAATTTGATAAGTAATTTTTTACAGAGTAAGTGTTCCCTAAAAAAATCTTGTATCGTATTCGTGTTTCTTTTGCCCAATTTCAAATTACATTCTATTTAAATTTAATTATAATTTGTCTTATGCTGCTTTAGCGCTTTCCCAATTTTGTAATATTGATTTTTTGCTACATCTTCAATCAAAATTTTAAAGTCTTAAGCATCACACTTCTTAAGATGCTTCTTCCACTGAGATTTGTGTTACAGCATTTGTGTTGATGTCAGGGATTAAAAGTTTGAAAGTTGTATGCTGCTGCTTTCTGCCAAAAAGAAAAAAAATGAGCTAACTTAAAATGGTGAATTTTTTTAAAGATTTGGATAAACCCTCGACAGAGTCACGATTTAACTACTCTAGTTTGTGCAAGAAATGTGTTTAAATTTTTTTTTCCATCTCCTATTTGGTTTTTCATTTTCAGATTTTAAAGGAAATTACTTTTTCAACTAAGAAGGAATCCAATGCTGTCAATTTTTTACTGTTCATTATTTTTATGAGACTGTACTAGGTATTTTCAAAGCACGTAATAATTATAATACTTAAGCAAATAAGTATAAAAAACACTAGCTCCTGAGGGACTTTGTCTTCTTTAGATAAACACAGGTTCAATGATTTCTGGAAACCTCAGTGATTTTTTCTTATTTTTTTCGGTTACCTTGAGTTGATGGGTTATATGGGTTTATGGGCTAGATGGGCTTTTATATGGCTATGATAGGTTTTGCTCAATAACAGGCCTAGGATGATCTAAGGGTCAAAAAACTTAGAATGAAGATAACATAGGTCAATTTGAATATTGCAGTTTAATTGAAATCTTCATGCATGTAATGTTGAAATATTGCTAAAAAATCACATTTTTAATATTAAAATTTTAGTTGAAAAAAATTCAAATCTTTAAATTTGATATGAAATAAGATATTGATATTCAGTATATTTTGTTTAATGACTTTCACATATGATTATGTTATTATACACGGATTCAATTTTATCACAGTGCATCATTATGGTTTAAATTTTCTTTTATTGATGTCTTTTCATTTTATTTCCAGTAATAAATGTATAAGAATTTATAAAATTCCTTATAAAATTATAGTAATTAACCTTATATTAACTTATTGTTGTATTAATTATTAATTAACTTTAAGAACTAGCTACAGGTTAGAGTAGAAGATTTATTCTTGAAAATTGTTCTTACTGTTTCATTTCCTTCTGGTACCAAATAGTGAATCTCAAAAAAAATTGAACTTCTGAATTTATTAAATGTAAATTTGATGGTAAATTTAAAAATACTAATTTTATAAATTAATAAAGCAAATATTAAAACTATATAATTAAATTTTAATTTAATGTAATTAAAATTATAAATATGAAAATATTTTCTTCGAAATAATAAAAAAAAAGTGTTTAGTTTCTTTTAGCATGAATCAGATATGGGTCAACTTTTAATAGGGAACAATTTGGGACATTTTAAAGGAACAATAGTTTTGGAAAACCAAGAAAGTGTGCTATTTGTGTGTTTACTGTATAATGGTATTAATTTAACCTGACGTTGTATTTTGCTGAGTCCAAATAAATAAAGAAATGTGGCTGCCCGCTACCAGTTTCCTAATTAAATGCTGATATGTCTGGCTATAGTGTTCGGTAATGATGACCTTTAATATAGGGTGTTCCGCAAAGACCGCTCTTAATGGATTTTCTATCAAAAATGAAAATAAAAATGTATACTCATTGGCGGTTGCAAGCTAATAAAAAGCTAGGAAAAGCAACGCTGTTGAAACCTGACAAATCAAGTGCAGGAACTGTTGATTATTTTCTGACCCAGTGTTCAGAATTTTAATTTAAAGACGACAACTTTGACTTTCCGATTTTATTATTTTTACTCGGAAACACACCTAACTTAATGCGCCACCTCAAAGACATCGATTTAATAATTTGATTTGTTCTAATTTTAAAGGAGTTGACCAATGTTAACCGATTGATCGATGATATTACGGTTTTATTCAAATTGTTTCAGTTTTAACTTAGTTGTTTTCATATCAACCAAGTTGCATAAATTTTATCAAGTTTTATTCACAGTATAATTATATTTCCCCCTAATTATCCAATTTGGAAATAATAATCCATTATTTACTATTTCATTTCTTTATTTAAACAGCAGTACCTAGTTATTCAAACTTTATTCTAAGATAGAAACATTGATTGAAATTTGCACAAAGTTGAAGATATTTTTTTTATTCCAAACACACTTGGAAAAAAATAGAACAAATTAGAAAAAATAATAATAAAGAAATTCTCAATAAGAATAAGAAAATTTTGTTTGATAAACACTTATACAAGTAAAAAGACGCAAACCTTCAAAATAAACAAGTGAAAAACTCATTTTAAGTGAAAAGTTTTATTTGTCAAGTTTTTGAATTTGTACCTATCAAACGAATTTTTCACTGAAATAGTTTCTTAAGTTTTTTTTTTAAATCTTCACTTTTGTATTTCGGATGCTTTTTTTTATGTGAGGGGTGCGAAAAAAATGCTCGAAAAAATAAACTTTGGAGGAAATTCAAACACAACTGAAATGACAGCTCTTCTTGGAGAAATTGTACTCCTTTGAAAACTCCTAATCATATTTAAAAAAAAAGAGAATATTTTCGGGTTGAAGTGTTTTGGTTTCGCAATATTTGATGCTTTGTTAAAATGTCGTCTTTTTTAAATATTCATGTTTTTGTTTTTCGTACGGCGAATAAAGTTTTCAAAAAAATTCAAAAGCTGATTTTTTTTTCTGTGGAAATGCAATTTGAATGCTTTTCCTTTTGTTGAATGCTTTTCCTTTCACATGCAACGGAAGATGGACAGAATATTTAAGTTGTTTCTTTTTTTAAATTTTTTCTAGCTTTCGGGTTTAAAAGTTTTTTTTCTTTTCAATTATTGAAATTTGAATTTTTACTTTAAGTGTTATTGATTTGCATTTTTCGTGTCTGTAGACTTATTAGTTGAAAGAAATTACTTCGCTTGTAATAGCCTAAATTTCATGTTTGTTTTTATTGGGCTGTCCGCAAAGTTCTTGTAAATTTGAAAAAAAAATTGCAAATTGAAACGAAGCACGTTTAATACATTTATGAAATTATGTGCGGGTTATTATTTTCCTTAACCTTCCCTTACATATATATATATATATATATATATACCTTAAAAATTAATTTGAATATGAAGTTCAATATTTTTTTATATTTTCTCTGAGTTATTCTGTATAAAACTCTCTCATTCGTTTTAAATATTGGCTGGTTTTTAAAAAAAAGGAACGTGAGAGAACTTTGCATAAATGTCATCATACATTGAAATATTTCAGCATAAATTCATCGTCTGACATTTTAATTAAATTTATCGTCTGGTGATTTCTTTCTTTCTTTATTTTTTCCTTTTATTTATTAAATTTTGTCTGCATAGTGGTGGCATTTAAG